TAAGCTATTTTTAGGCTGTATTTAAATGGTTTTATTAATTGGAATCTTAAGTACCTACGATATATGCACTGATTCACTGCACAACTCTTGATTTAATTGCAGGACTAATTACTTGAATAATTTGAAGTAAATTAAAACATCACTAACAAATGTGGCAGGCATTTCACAGCATGCCGCTATATAAAAACACGTACCTTGCTATAGTTTTAATGATACCTTCAAGTTCATCCACGGAAGGAGGATTGCGACCACCAGGGGGAAAAACCAAGTTGATAGGATCAAAGAGTCGAGATAGAGATTTTGATAAATAAGCAGCTTCATAGGGTTGCAGTGAGTCTTTCAAAGCCTTTTCTGGGCTGTGGGGACAAAATTTATTAAAACTGAATTCAGATTACACAAAACTAAATGCTATTGTATTTAAGCTATTTTTAGGCTGTATTTAAATGGTTTTATTAATTGGAATCTTAAGTACCTACGATATATGCACTGATTCACTGCACAACTCTTGATTTAATTGCAGGACTAATTACTTGAATAATTTGAAGTAAATTAAAACATCACTAACAAATGTGGCAGGCATTTCACAGCATGCCGCTATATAAAAACACGTACCTTGCTATAGTTTTAATGATACCTTCAAGTTCATCCACGGAAGGAGGATTGCGACCACCAGGGGGAAAAACCAAGTTGATAGGATCAAAGAGTCGAGATAGAGATTTTGATAAATAAGCAGCTTCATAGGGTTGCAGTGAGTCTTTCAAAGCCTTTTCTGGGCTGTGGGGACAAAATTTATTAAAACTGAATTCAGATTACACAAAACTAAATGCTATTGTATTAGGTTATAAACACCTTTCTTAAAAACTGATCTTCTATATAAAATGTTAAACTCTTTATGAACAAAAAGAAAAAAATTCTGTTTAAAAATGTATATATTTACAAGTACATTTCATAACTAGACAGTTATTGAGAACTAAACATTTTAATTTACACATAAATCCTATGTATAAATGTAATATAATACATGCCAGTATCTACTGTGGTAATTCTGTCTTTGAAACTAAAATAACATTTGAAACTAAAAGAACAACAATGTAAAATCTTACTCATTCTAATGGGGCTATGCCTTTGCTTAGGAAATCCAGTTTTTAGCAAGTATCAAAGCTTCACAAGAGAGTCAAGTGTACAGAAACCTGCTCTACGAACTCAACCCTTTCCACCTGATGCTGCCGTTTCCCATAGAGCTCCTCTGTGAGAGGGAAGTGCACAGGATCTAGGCTGTTATCAGCCCTCCAATGACAAACTAATAGAAGGGACAAAACAAAAAGTGTTTGGGAAAGTGCTATGATCACGACTGAAGTCCTAAACTCATTTATTTTACCATATTCTTCACAAACTAGAACTTGGCCTACTATACACATCTTTCCTTCTAAATCTTCCCATGTCTCCAGTTATCTGTATTTTCCATTAGCAGTCCTACTATCAGGTCTTTTATCTTTCCTTTGGCAATACTATCAAAATGTCTAGAACCATTATTTCCATCTGCTTTCTTATTCCTATAATTAACTCCTTATCTTCTCTCGTCGCCTGTGTTTATAATCCTTCTACCAGTCCTTCTGTTGTCTTTCTTTTTTTCTTAAGCCTCCTTTCATTCTAAACATCAACCTTAAAAACCTCTGATTTGCTCCACTGTATATGAATTATGAAACCTAGCTTTTTTTCTTTCCCCACACTTTCTGGTCATCTAAGGAGCCCTAGAGGTCACAGTGCTCTTGGCTTGTACATCGTAATTCCATAGTTATCTCTTAACATTTCTCATTCAATAAGTATTTCCCTCAGCACCTGTTTACTGAGAATACTATGTACCAGGCATTGTTAAGTGCCAGGAAGATGTAGATTACAAGTACTGTACAATGCAGGGAAGAAACATGCAGGTAAAGTGCTAACTATAGTGATTTCTATAATAGGTGAAGATAGAACACAATGGGAATGGGGAGGATGGTGTCTCAATCTGCCTGAAGCAGTCCTCTATTGAAGACCATGCCATCTACCTAAATGTCTTCACTATTTTTGCTCCTTTCATTTACTAACCTTAAGAAGCCTCTTTCCTCTTCTGCAGATATTTCAGTTCTGAATTATAAGTACTAAGAGCCTCCTGTCGCTGAATCTGCACTAAAGATCCTTGGAGACTACGATGTCAAAACGGATAACTCTCTGGGGAGCCTGGGTGGCTCAGTCAGTTGTTTGCCTTCAGCTCAGGTCATGATCCCAGTGTTCTGGGATTGAGCCCCATGTAGGGCTCCCTGCTTACTGGGGAGCCTGCTTCTCCCTCTCCTCCCTGCTTGGGCTCTCTGTCACTATCTTAGTCTCTCTTTCTCAAGTAAATAAACAAAATCTTAAAAAAAAAAAATTGATAACTGTTCTAAAACCCAACCTGTTTGAAAAGTCTGCTTTTATTTTAGCTTTACTAGGGATCTTCCATATTTGTCATCATTTTGAACTATTCTTCTAAGATCTCCAAGCCTGAAGACAACTTTTCAAACTCCCACTGTCCCCGTCTTGTTTGCTCCTACAAATACTGTTAAGTCTCTACAATTTGCCAGGTAATTCCTAGGTGTGGGAAATATGGCAGTCAAGTCATTTAAAATTCCCTGTTCCTCTTAAAGTTCACTAATGGGAAACTTAAGGTTGTTAATGAGAAAGACAAACACAAAAATAAACACACATTTTTAAGTGTTTTAAATATGGAATATGAGAGTCTTAGTTTTAAGAGAAAAATAAAGCAAGCAAGCCAGAAAGAATGTGTTCGGCTCTCTCTCTCTCTCTTTATCCTATTTTGGATCCTATAAGGCGAGGCAAGGTTTGCTGAGCAGAACTGAGGAGAAAGAGGGAGCCAAATGACAGAGATTTTCAGGATAAGATCATTCCAGGCAAAGAAAACAGGAAGTGCAAAGGCCCTGAGGAGGGACCACACCAGGCTCAGTGCACCAAAAACTTAGAGGAGCAGAGTATGTTAAGTGCCAGGAGAATAGCACAAGACGAAGTCAAACAGAGAATGGGTGGAATAAATCATGCCAGTCTTTGTAGGTCAATAAAGGTGCTATATTTTACTCAAAAGAACTTGCTCTTAGACCTTACTGTGATCAATGCTACAGAATCCTTTCCTACTCTCACCCTCCATCAGCCCACCAGGTCTGTCCTCCTCTGTCTACAGCCAACTATTTCAAGGAAATCTCATTAGCATCCTGATTTTTCTAATCCACCTTCCTTTCAAAGCTCTTACTAGGAATATCTTATTTAGATGGTCTCTGTATCTGCTGCTAAGCTACCCACATATTACAGAGAAAAAGTAATTTGTATCTATCATACATCTATGCAAACCCCTTAATTTCAAAAGACCTGAAGCGCATGGTATTAACTTAAAATTCTACATTTGCAACCCCTTGCTTTCTACAGGTGACCGTTTGCCTCTACTTTATACTAAGACCAAACCATTGGCAATGGCCTTCATCGACTTGGACTTCTCTAGTTTTTTTCTCCCTTTGCGACTTCATCTACTCTCTGATTTTCCTGTTATCTCAAAGAAAGAAGTAGCTTTATTCCTTTTTATTTTTTTTTTATTTTTTTAAGATTTTATTTATTTATTTGACAGAGAGAGATCACAAGTAGACAGAGAGGCAGGCAGTGAGAGGGAGGGAAGCAGGCTCCCCGCCAAGCAGAGAGCCCGATGCGGGACTCGATCCCAGGACCCTGATATCATGACCTGAGCCGAAGGCAGCGGCTTAACCCACTGAGCCACCCAGGCGCCCCTTTATTCCTTTTTCCATATCAAAACTTCTCAGAAGAATTGAATCTACTTCCTTTCCCACTTTTTTTTTTTAAATAAACTGCTTTATTGAGAGAGAATTCACATTTAATTCAACCATTTTTTAAACTGTACAACTCAGTGGTTTTTAGTATGATCACAGATATGTGTAACCATCACCATCAGTTCTAGGACATTTTTATCACCTCAGAACCTTTGTACCCTTTAACTATAACCCCTTTACCTTCTCACTCTATCCCCAACCCTAATCAACTACTAATCTAATTATTATCTCCACAATTTTGCTATTCTAGAATTTCATATGAATAGGATAAAAAAATGTATTTTTTGTGCTGGCTTTGTTCATTCAGCATAATATTTTCAAGGTTCAGTTACATTGTAGCATGTATCATTCCTTTTTATGGCTGAATAGTATTCCATTGTATAGATATACATCACTGTTTTTTACCCATTGGTCTGCTGATGGACATACGGGATGTTTCTATCTTTTGGCTATTATGAATAATGCTGTTGTAAGCATTTGTTACAAATTTGCGTCAACATTTAAAAAATCTGCTTAATGTTTTCTTTTGTAATAAAATATAAAGTTTATCATTTTAGCCATTTTTAAGGGTACAGTTCGGTGGTATTACGTATATCCCTACTTGACTGTGCAACCATTGCCACCATCCATCTACAGAACTTTTTCATCATCCTATACAGAAACTAGATCCATTAAACAATACTCCTCAGTCCACCCTCCCCAAACATGTTTTTATTTGTCCAGGCATGTACTTAGGAGTAGAATTGCTGCGTCATGGTGACTGGCTTTAGTTGTTTGAGTAACTGCAAAATGATTTCCAAAGCCCTATGCCATTTTAGATTTCCACCAGCAATGTATGAGAGTTCTAATTTCTCCACATTCTTGCCAACACTTGTTATTATCTTTTTGATAAAAGCATCTTAGTGGTGTAAAGGAGTCACTCATTGTGGTTCTGATTTGCATTTTCCTGATGGCAAGCATATTTTCATGTGCTTCTATATTCTGGGGAGATACGTCTACTCAGATCCTTTGCTCATTTTTTAATTGGTTATCTTTTATTGTTGAATTCGAAGGTTTCTTCCATATTCTACATACAAGTCCATTGACAGATACAGGAGTTGTAAGTACTTTCTCCCATTCTTGATGGTGTCCTTTGAAGTACAAAAGTTTTAATATGTGAAATAGTCCAATATGTATTTTCTCTTTTGTTGCTCTTGCTTTTGGGGGTCATATAGCTAAGAATTCTTTGTCAAACTCTAAGTCATAAAGATTTGCCTGCATATTTTGTTCTGTTTTATATTTTTGACCTTATAGTTTTTTTTTTTTAAATCCATTTTGAGTTATTTTTGTATATGGTGTGGGGTAAGATTCCAGCTTTATCCTTTTGAATGAAACCATCCAGTTGTCTTACCACCATTTGTCAAAAAGAGTATTTTTTCCCCGCTGTATATTCTTGAAAAGCTTTTTGAAAATCAGCTGACCATTGATACAGAAGTCTTTTCTAGACTTTCTTCTTTTTTGAAAGACTTATTTATTTGAGAGAGAGAAAGAGAACATGCACGGGGGTGGGGGTAGGAAGGGGAAGCAGACTCCCCACTGAGAAGGGAAGCTGCGTTGGGGCTCCATCACAGGACTCTGGGATCATGACTTGAGCCGAAGGCTGCCACTTAACCAACTGAACCACCCAGGCATTCCTGGACTCTCAATTCTATTCCATTAATCGGTATGTCTCCCCTTTTACCAGGACCTTATCATCTTGATTACTATTGCTCTGTAATAAGTTTCACAACTGGGAGGCATAACTCCTACTTTATTCTCTTTTTTTTAATACTGACTTGGTCATCCTAGGGTACCTTGCAAATCCATATGAACTTTAGAATCAGGTTGTTACTTTCTTTTTTTTTTTTTTTTTAAAGATTTTATTTATTTGTCGGAAAGAGAGAGAGAGAGAAAGCACACAAGCAAGCAGAGAGGCAGGCAGAGGCGGAGAGAGAGGCAGGCTCCCTGCTGAGCAAGGAGCCCGATGCAGGGACTCGATCCCAGGACCCTGGGATCATGACCTGAGCTGAAGGCAGCGGCTTAACCCACTGAGCCACCAGGCGTCCCCAGGTTGTTACTTTCTACAAAAAAGTCAGCTGAGATTCTAACAGCAACTGAGGTGAATCTGTAGATCCATTTTGGAAATATTACTATCTTAGTGATGTTAGGTCTAGTGATTCATGAACATGAAATGTTTTTCAATTTACGTAGCTCTTTGATTTCTTTCAGCAATATTTTATAGTTTTCAGAGTATAAGTTTTATACTTCTTTTGTTAAATTTCTTCTTTTAAGTATTTTATCTTTGTGGTATTACTGCCATATACAGTGTATCTATTAATGCCACAAATCCAACAATAAGTTGTTATAATTATCACTCTACAATCTGTCACCATTTCCATAGCACATTATAGTTCTGCTCCCACCTACATCCTTTATGCTCTTATTGGCAAATGTATACACATATATTGCATTTCTATATGTTACAAGCCCAACAATGCATTCTATACATATTTTATACAACTGCATTTTAAATCAGTTAAGAGAAAAAAGGAGAAAACACGCATTTATAGTATCTTTTATAATTCCTAACTATCTTCACTGGTGCTCTTCATTTATGTGTACTTGAATTACTGACTGAGATGACCTGGTTTTGGGCCTAAAGAACTTCCTGTACTATTTCTTGAAGTCTTTACTTCTCTTCATTATGAACAACAGCTTTACTGAATACGGGATTGCTGCTTCAGAGTTTCTTTCTTTGAGCACTATGAGCCCACCACCTTCTGGCCTCCTCTGTTTCTGCTGAGAGGTCAGTTATAAATCTTTGGGGCACCCTTATAAGTGATGAGTAGTTTTTCTTTGCCTGCTATCGAGATTTTCTCCTCGTCTTTCACCTTGGACACTTACACTACAATGGGTCTGTTTGTGGTCTTTATGAGTTATTCCTACTCGGAGTCTGTTGAGCTTCGTGGGTGTGTACATTGTTTTTCAATAAATTTCGGAAGTCTTCAGCCATTATGTCTTTGAGTATTTTTTTTTCTTCTCCTTTCTCTCTCTCATCTTATTGTGGCACTCCCATTACATATGTGTTGGTATGTTTAATGGTGCCACACAGTTCTCTGAGGCGCTGTTTTTTTTTCATATTTTTCTATCTGTTCTTAGGCCTAAATAAGTCTAGTTTCCAGTTGGATAATTTTTTTTAATGCTAGTTCAAATCTATTATTGAGTCCCTCTAGCGATTTTTATAATTTTAGTAACTGAACTATTCAACTGCAGCATTTCCATTTGATTTTTTTATAATGTTCATCTTTTTATCGATAATCTCCATTTGATGCAACACTGTCATCATATAGTTCTTTAGTTAATCATACTTTTAGTTCTGTGCACACAGTTCTAATGGCTAATTGAAGTCTTATTCTATTAAATCTGATGTTTGGTCACTCTCACAAGCAGTCTCTGTTGCTTGTTTTTTATACCCCCCTGCCCCGCTGCCACTCAGTGTATGGGTCATACTGTTATGTTCCTATGTATGCCTCATTATTTTTGTTAGAAACTGGACATTTCAGATAATACATTATTGCAACTCTGGGTACTAGATCTCTGCACCTCTAGGGTTTGTTATTGTTATTTGCTTGTTTTGTGACTGGCTAGATTATTTTAGTGAAGTTTATTTCTTCCCATAGTGTGAAACCTTTGTCAGAGGGCCACACCTTTGGGTATGCTCACAGTCACCCACAGAGCACAGTGGTGCTGACAGGGTTCTGTTTCCTCCCTTTCATGGACCACGCTCCTTTTTAATTTTAAGGAAAGCACAGAATACAAAACAAAAATTCTATCTCCTGGAAATAAACCACTATCACCATTTGTTGTGTATACTTCCAGACCTTTTTAGGGGCAAGAATATGGGTTTAAAAATAAAACTAAGCCAAAAATAGAATGAAAATATATTATTTTATATAATGTTAAAAAATGTATTAGGTCTTTGTAGATCAAGAGATGAGGGCAGTTCTCTTGCTCCTCTTCCATTAGTTCTTATCGAATCTCTATGTTTAGCAGAAAAGAGTTATTGAAGAGAAAAATGTAGTTTCATTCTATCTTCCCAGCCATGCCATTTATTTTGCCAATGAAAACTTCTACGTCCTATATTTCACTAGCCAGAACTTCTTACTACAGTGGATACAATTTAAGTATTTAGAAAAATAAAAACTGAAAGAGAAACATTTATATCCACCCAACATTTTTTTACAAGGTAGGTGATAAGAATCTGCTGTTACCTGAGTCAGCCTTGTCACACTAAATGATTCTGGTGTTTAAAGAAAATATGCAAACCAATCAATTCATTTGTTGCTCAAAGAGAAATTTGAAAATAATATTCTTTTTTTTTTTTTTAAAGATTTTATTTATTTATTTGACAGAGATCACAGGTAGGCAGAGAGGCAGGCAGAGAGAGAGAGGAGGAAGCAGGCTCCCTGCTGAGCAGAGAGCCCGATGCGGGGCTCGATCCCAAGACCCTGAGATCATGACCTGAGCCGAAGGCAGAGGCTTAACCCTCTGAGCCACCCAGGTGCCCCTGAAAATAATATTCTTTTTCCATTTAGGAGGAAAGTTGGCTGCTTTAAACTTACTGATATGGTATACTCTTTTCCAAAGTTGCACCTAACTACATACACTGTATGTTATTTCCAAAGTTGCACCTAACTACATACACTGTATGTTAGTTGCGCTAACTGCATACACTGTGCTTTATGCATAAACTAAGACATTTCAGGTTTAATTGTGACTATACTCAGTTTTTTCCTACCAGACTGAGAAGCTATCCCAGCATAAAATTTCCCCTATAGTTCCTGAACACACCAATTACTTTTATATCATATTTATTCCTGTGGTCCATCAATAATGATACTATCTGATATAATTATAGGTATATTACCAATTAAAAGATAGTGACCACATATGCTGATCTCCTACCTTTTACTCACCCTACTTGGTGCCGTACTTTATATCAGATTCCAGTTAGGAACCAGGCTGCTCAACTAATGACTTATTCATTTATGTGCTGCAAAGTCTTCTGCAGTCTACATATAAATCATGATCATTACAAATATGTAGAAGATTAGTATATTCCCATTTTCTAATTTTTAATAAAAACAGAAGACAAAATCCTTATCATGACAACAAACAGATCTGATTAAATAAACATACTCATAATCTGGCTTTTTTGGTATGAAGATGTCTTGTGTGTCATCTTCAGTATGTTGTAGGTCAACATAGAGGTCTGTAGTTCCACTTGCATTAAAGTTTCCTTGCATATTTTGGCTGTATTGTTGAAGACGCTTCCATAAGTCATTATAAAGACGTAATAATTTAGGGTATTCTCCTTCGAATGCCTGTTTCAAAAACATAGAAGCTGCCAAGCAAAATAATAACATGATAAACAATGTAATAAATGTTATATTATAATAACAAGATAATATAAAAAATATAAATATAAAATACATAATAAATATTTATTATGCTATATTATACTAATGATGGTAGTATAGAATACTATCATCATTATTTATTATTTAAATAATATTAATAATAAATAATAATATAAAAACAGTAACAAGATAAACAATAAAACCAAAATGTGGCAAATAAATTTTCTTTTGTATATGTTGATGCTACAAATAGCCTATACTAAAGGACAAACCAAATATCTATTCTAATGAGACTTTTAAAAATGCTAGTAAAAGTAATTTTCCTCCTAAATTATCCACTGCATTTGATATGTGAACCATATTTTGAAGCCTAATCTATAAAGAAACAGACAAATCAACAATTATAATTGAAGATTTCGATTACCTCTCCTGCAGTAACTGATAAAACAAGTACACAGAAAATCAGTAAGCATATGGAAAATCTAAACAATACCCAAATTCACTTAATTGATATTGATATAAGACTTCATCCAAAATAGCAAAGTACATATTTTGAAGTAGAATAACAAGACCAACAGTATTTGATGCCATAAAACAGTCTGAATAGATCTAAAAACCTTAGATATAAAATATATCTTTTATATAGATATAAAAGATATAAAATAGATCTAAAAAAAAAACAGAAAGAAATCTTCAAAAATCCCGAGTAAGTACCCAGAAGTAGAATTGCCAGATAAGATATGATAGTTCTATATTTAATTTTTTTGAGGGACCTCCATATTTCCACAGTGGCTACACCAATTTACATTACCACCAACAGTGCACAAGGCTTCCTTTTTCTCCACATTCTAATCACTTGTTATTTTTTGTCCCTATCCCTTTTAGCAAGAATATAAAGCATACAAAGTCTCCTCCAACCTAACTAGCTAATCTTGAATCCACTTACAATATGAAAATGACCACCCTTATTATCTCACAGAAAAAAACAAAGGTCACCCAAAAAAATCCCTTCAACTTTTTACCCTCCATTCCCCTATAAATGTTTCTAGTTTTCAGCTTTCTGCACAGGAATCAAGTACCCATTCCATAGAACACACACAACAGAGTAACAGTAATAATACTACCTTCAGTAACATGATTTACTGAAAAGAGTTCATGGGCTTTTGGGTGGAATTCTCATTGTCCTTTCATTATATACCAATAGGGCTAAAAAAACTATTATGAAGTAGTCAAATAAGTAAAAAGTCGAATGAAAGAGTGCCTCTCCGTGTGGTTTTGCCACCAACTGGACAAACATCTATCTGCATTAAGATTTTCCATTTTACTTTTGATTTTTAGTGATATCTTCTTTCATTTTCATTCCATTTTATATAAAATTTTATATATAAAATATATAAAATCTTACATAAAATATTTATAGGACAATGAAACTAAATCTGCACAACAAAGTACATTTGAAGAAGCCTATAGCTTTTATCCCTGGTCTCCCTAATGTATTCTTCACACACACCCTCCCGTCTGCCCCTGCTACTGGTAATCATTTTTTGGATTTTATGGTTTATTCTTCCATTTCTTTTTTTTTTTCTTAAAGATTTTTATTGATTTATTTGACAGAGACAGACAGCGAGAGAGGGAACACAAGCAGGGGGAGTGGGAGAGGGAGAAGCAGGCTTCTCACTGAGCAGGGAGCCCAAAGTGGGACTGGATCCAATGAGCCCAGGATCATGACCTGAGCCAAAGGCAGACGCTTAACGACTGAGCCACCCAGGCACCCCTATTCTTCCTTTTCTTAAAAATATAAGTCAAATGTGTATTTATGTCACTCCCTAACTTTGGTAAACAACAGCATACTGCACACATATTTCTCCACTTTTTAAACTTAATATCTTGGAGATCATTCCATAGCAGCATATAAAGATATTCCTCATTTCTTTTTTTGGGTCTCTTTCTCATTCTTTCTCTCTCTCTCTCTTTTTTTTAAGATTTTATTTACTTATTTGAGAGAGAGAGAATGAGAGAGAGACACGAAAGTGGGGAGAGTTAGAGGGAGAAGCGGACTCCCTGCTGAGCTGGGAGCCCGATGTGGGACTCCATCCCGGTACTCCAGGATCATGACCTGAGCCAAGGGCAGTCCCTTAACCAACTGAGCCACCCAAGCGTCCCTCTCATTCTTTTTAATAGTTGCATGGCATCCCATTCTATCGACGCACAGCTTGTTTAATCACCTAAGTGATGAACACCTGGGCTACTTCTGGTTTGTTTCTATTCCAAATAATGATCCAATGAATAGTCCTGTGAATACATCTCTTCATGGTTTTGCTAATACGTCTACAGAATAGATCCTTAGAAGCAGAACTGCTGAGTAAAAAAGCAAATGCTTATATGACTTCGTTAGATACTCTGAACTCCCCTCTAATAAGGTCTGTATTTGAGTTCACAATGTGTGAGGAGTGACATTTCTCCACAGGCTTATCAACAGAGTGCGTTTTTAAACTTCTCTGATTTTTTTTTGCTCATCTGATAGATGAGAAATGGTGTCTCTATGTACTTTTATTTTGCATTTCTCAATTCATGGGGAACACTGAGCATCTTTTTCAAGTTAAAGGAAGCTACCTTTTTTTTCTTTAGGATTGTTGGTCTTTTTCTTCTCATTTTAGCAGCTTTTTATAGTACGGATACTAGCTTCTTTTCTATGATGTAAGTTATAAATGTTTTTCAAGTTTGTCACTTGTCTTTTTATTTTGCTGAGGTTTTTTTCCTGCCATGTAAGATTTTTAATATAATCAAATCATCAATCTTTTCATAATTGCCTCTAGATGTTAAATCAGTTAGAGAAGTTTCCCCTATTCCTAGCTTACTCACTGTTTTCTTCCAACCCCTGAATGGTTCCATAGTTTACATTTAATTCTTTGATCCATTTGGCATTTCACTCTACTCTTCAATTCTGAATGTTTTATCCATTTCCTAACAACTGGGTCACATTTGTGTGTTCAACAAATCCACAAGAAGGATTTAATTAAATATCTTAGTCTATGTTAGCTTTCTTTTTCTACCTCAGTAAAAACTGCTTCATGTTTTATGTTGATGACATAAAATCTTAATTGCGAAGGATCAAATATATAATGGTATAAGGAAAAAGGTAAAAAGTATTTGATATTCTATTATCCTAAGATAATCACTCCAACATTTTTGTACTGTCCTTTCATGTCCCTGTTTATCATACATACACACTGTTATTTTCTTTTCTTTTTTTTTTTTAATTTATTTATTTAACAGACAGAGATCACAAGTAGGCAGAGAGGCAGGCAGAGAGAGAGGAAGGGAAGCAGGCTCCCTGCTGAGCAGAGAGCCCGATGCAGGGCTCGATCTCAGGACCCTGGGATCATGACCTGAGCCGAAGGCAGAGGCATCAACCCACTGAGCCACCCAGGCACCCCACACACTGTTATTTTCTAAAAGCACTTCACATTAGGATCTCATTTAGCTTGTAAGAGCTTACTATTTTTTTAATGAAAGGTATTTTTATTTTTAGTTTTTCTGCTCAATTTCCTTATTCTTACAGCCTTTAAATATTAATTTAACACTTTAGGCATCCATTTCAACAGCATGTCAGTTACATAATGAGCACTCTGCTTTGTGACAGGAACACAATATGGAACAGAGGTACTGATAAGCTTTTTCTAGAGCCTGGTGGAACGTACAGACAAGCAAGGAGGTGGACCATTATGAAACGGTGGGATAATTACTAAAATTGGGGACATACAAGAGCTTTATGGGAGCAGAAAGAGGATGTCAAACCCATATCTAAGCATGTGTATGGGGAGGGAGATATCAAGAACACTTCATTTCTAAACTGAGATTGGGGAAACGAATGTGAGTTATCCATATGAAGGGGAGGATACAGACATGTGTTTCATGTAACTGTAAAGATGAGAGAAGATGATTTATTCACAAACTAAACCTCCATTACAGAGATAAAAAAATTAGAAAGAAAAAAAAAAAGAGCACTGATAAGAAGGGACTAGAAAAGTCATGTTGGGAATGTATCCTGGGAGTAACAGGGGAAGAAGAGTGGAGGCAGACCAGGGCTCCCACTGTAACAATTAAAGAAGCAATATACATTTTTTTATAAATTCAAGCTTGGACCAAGCAGAGAACCTCATGCTGGAGAAAAAACTAGCAGAGCTTTTAGTGGTTCACGGAACTGGAGTATAAATTTAGAAACTTAAGGACTCTCAACCCTAGTGTCCCATGGAAGATTTAGCTAGCTATGGACTTGCAAGGGAAGCTTGGGAACTAGGTCTAAAACTTCAAAGGGCAGAAGTAAAATATGCTTGATATTTGTGGAAAACATATTGGAAACAAAGGCTAGCTGAGGGGAGAGAACATGCCACAAACACATGCAGGTCTTCCTTCCCATGAAGACATTCACCAGATTCTGAAGTTTCATGAAGCAGAAGGCTGAAGAGCCTTGTCTGGAAACCTCTGGATGGCAGAGCTAGATCAAACTCAGTCTTTCAGGGACGAGGAGACAAAGACCCTCCAACCTCTCAATTAAAAACCATGGGAGAAGCATCCCCTCCCCCCAAATAAAGAAAAATTAGAGATAGACTGAATCTTATTAAAACTGCAACTACCCCAATCCAACCCAATCCAAGAATGAGTGGAAACAATCAACCTATTTATGTACAACTAGACTGCCAAAGGGGGAGAAAAGAGAACAGTAAAAGGCTTCAGAATATGTGAATAAAATCTTATGAATCAATCAGACAGGCAGTTGTACAGAAATGAACAGAAACTTTGAAAAAAACATATCAAAATAGCTCATTAATATGTGGGAAAATGAGTATCATGAAACACTAGGGAAATAAAATTAAGACCGCAATGTGATTTGAGTAAATGTCCGCCAAAATGGTTAAAGGAAAAAAACACGAACAATAGCAAGTGCTGACAAGGATGTGGGAAAATGCGGACTGCCAAGGAA